AACGCCATGCTCGCGACGTACTGGTTGGGATCCTGGGCACAAATTTCAAGTGTCGTGCCTGTGCCATGACCCTATGCAGCCCTATGCATGCAGTCCTGTGCGCCGCCCAACTCCTCCTCTTCCATCGGATCTCGAATCTGGCCCAGGCGTCAAATACAACCATCAAACAATTTATCGCTGCATCCATGACGGGTTCACAAGCCCATGCTAGGACTGCAGCACAGGTGATGAAATCAAAGACGCTCAGCTTCCGGACCAGCGTGTCTCAAGACAAAACAAGAGCTTGTCAACATCGCTTCAGATTCAGCAAAAATTACTCGATGGGGGGATGCGAGAGAGCGGGGTCTGTGGCGCCCCTTGTGGGCCTGAGGAGTTCAATGAATTCACCCAACCTAACACCAATGATTCAGACACTTCCACAGCCGTTGCCAAAATCTCAAGAGTTTCCGAAAGCCCTGCACTCTGGGCCTTGCGGCCGATATTGGGTAAGTCTGGGAAGACCTGCCAAGAGAAGTAACGGAGCCAAGCACGCCGAGCTCCAGTGGTGGGCTGCGCTACGCTGCTGCATTGCTGCTCATTGCTGCCTGCAGCAAGAGCTCCTCTTCGGCAGCGATTCGTTGCGCGCGCCAGACCTCGGCAAGTGAGCTTGCAGCCAGCCAAGCCCTCGCTGAGAATGGAGCTCAACCGCAATGTGCAGACTTTTCCATGTAACTGGGCGAGCTCGGAAAAACGTCGTGGATCGGAACAGTCTTTCTGTCGACTTTGGAGGAAACGGTGCTGTCTCGTCCGAGCTTTCGGCCATGAACTCAGTGGTCTTGATGCCCACGTACTCAAAGTTCATCAGGCCCCTGAGCTTTCATCATTGCCGAAACTTCTCTCACACAAAAGTCGGCGCGGAACAGAACATCTATGTAAAATGCAAACCCAGATGCATCCAAGTCTGATGTCGTGGGGCTAACGCAGTGCCTGCGGTTTTAGACAGCACCAAGTGGCGGCCAGACTGTCAGCCAGCCATCAAACGTCGCCTGCAGTAAATGACGGCGAGAAAGGGACTACCGGATCCATACTGACAGTGTCCAACGCCTGCACAGCTCTACAGTACATAGACCCCTCAACCTCAATGTCTCGAAGGCTCTTGCTCTTCCTTGTTTGGTGCCTTCGTCCGCGCAACAGTGAGGACCAGGGCACACAGTCCCCCGCGCAGGAGTGGAAACACCCAGTGGATGGCCATCCTGGGTCGGGTCAAATCCTTTGGAACGTCAGCATCGATTTTAGCGGTTCTGTTGCCTTCAGCCTGACAACAACCGAGCTTAAAATTCGGAAGAGTCTCACATTCACTGCAATCGCGTATCTCGCTGTTCATCCTCTATCACTCTGGTCGTCTATCATCACGTCTGCTTCTTGGGGTGACCGGCTACCAGTAGAAGCTTGGACTCCGAAAACCGTGGGCATACCGATAAACCTCGCTGATGCATGCATGCTTTACTTGTTCGGCCAACTCCTCCAGCCGGCTGCCGGCTGACCCTTCCAAGTCCCGCGCAAGCTGAACCAGAAGGCTTGGAAGGCCGCGGCAGCACGTGGCTGTGGCGTGAGCCTGCCAGGCACTTTGTGTCATCGGAACGCCGCAGGGCAAAAGGGCCAAAAGACTATGCACAGAGTCCCGGACATGCACATGGACACGACAGCACTGAAGCCCAGGAAGCTGCCAATGATACCTTGGTTCACTCCGAGCTAGGCAGTGTTCTGAGTGCTTCGGTTCTGTGCTGCGATCTGCTGCGACAATCGGCACTGAGACGGCAGCAGGTCCATTTGCCCATCTCTGCCAGCTCATGCCAATACCTGCGCAACGAAGCTTGGATGGCTTTGCCCTGAAAACGGTATCTTACTGTAAGTATGCTGAGATAAGTAGAGATTCTTCTCGTCAGGATCTGTCTTCTGATGCGCTGCCTGAGCTGAAACCTCCTTGCTTCCACGGAGGTCGTCGGCCGCTGGTTGTAGGGGATGGCATAGCGATAGAACAACCTGCGCTGCAGCAACAGCCAGGTTTGAAGAGAAGCATTGAGTAGCCCAAGAACGATTCTCGAAGGTCAAGACAATGAACCCTTTCTGGATCGTGGGCATTTAAGTGTGCATGCTCTGACCAACATCTCGGTACGTCGCATGCCCTCGTCTTATCGTCGGCCTCATGATCGTCCGCTTAACCTCGGGCATCTGCACAGCCGTCTCGCAGGGGAAGTAGAGCTCAGGGTTCGGGTCTCTTCTTGATTTTCGAACTTGAGGGCTGGGAGACTAGCAAGAAGGGGGAGAATTTCCGGGTAAACATGTGTAAAGCGACCGACACCGACGAACCACAATTGGCTAGCCGCTCAGGGGCCCCGACGGTCATGGGTTAAGTAGCTGTGCACATGCCAATGTTCAGGCTTGCAGGCAACGATCCATGCGGATCAACTGGACACAAGCACGCCAGCTACGCAACGACAAGCTTGGAACTCTTCTGCACGAGCTAGTTGGTGCTGAGGCCGCATCGAGAGAACTAAAGAGAATGCCGATGGAAGCACAGAGGATGGTGTTGCCGGTAACAGGCCTGAGAAGAGATGTTTCAGTCGAAGCATCTGCAAATGCGCTAGTGACCCGCTAGTGCGGTTGTGATGGTTTGTCCAAATTCACAGATGACAATGACATTGGATTTTTCAGGCGCTGCAAGCAGTGCAACAACTGCATAGCTCGTTGCGGCTCCGAACCAGTGCTGCGATGATTTTTCTTGGACACCTGTGTTGCGCCCCTAACAGAGTGCTGATTGCGCGCAATCTGGATGAGGTTGGTCTTCTGTCAAGGATACCAGCATCTTCGTTGCCGCCGTCCGAAACACCATCGTCAGCAAGGTCCCCTATTTTTAGCCTCTTAACCCTTGACCCTCACAGAAAGCATGGCTTGGGTCTGGGCATTGTAAACGCCTGCACGAACAAGTCCCAGGTGGCTGTATCTTGGCAGGGCTGCTGGTAAGAGCTAGACCTGAACACCTGGCTTGCATGAGATGTTGAGGTGCGCTGTCACCATGCTTGTTAGGAGTTTCAGTTCTACCGTAGATTGATCGGGTTTTGGAGAATCTGGATTAGAACAGAGCTAGATTCTCGGCGCTTCCTTTCTCGGAGTTGGTGGGGACCGGCAGTATCAACTGGACAGGTCACCTGGAGCCTAGAAAGGCCCAGGCACAGCATGCCTGATCGCAAAACAGCGCAAGATCAGGTTGCGTATTTACTCAGGAAGGAGTCCCTCCGCTTTGACTTGATGGGGCTCAAGGCAACGCTTGGAGAGGATTTCGGCTCTTTGCTACTGTATACTGTCGAGTTGCTCACCCTTAAATTTCTACGACCTCGGGCTTCTCGCTGGCATCTGCGCGTCTCATCCGATGCTCCCGCAGCGCGTCTTCTCCATTGGATCCAAGTCACTCGTGGCTTCCACCTCCTCATTCACCGGAGCCTTTGGAGCTGAGGGGGGCTGACATGTTGTGACCTCGGATGCCTTGCTTGCTCAAACTTAATCATTCCCCATGCCGTCATTTCAGAACTTGTGACGAGTGAGCAGGTGCTGCACGCCAATCACGGCCTTGGTAGATATGTTCTGGCCGACTTACGATGCTTGGAAGTCAAGTGGTTGCGGGGAGTGTGGAAGCCAAGACAGAGTCTAGTCCGTGAATCTTCAGGCCCCAGGTTGATAATGTTAGCAGCGGACACCAGCGGTGATGGACCAACCCGCCTACACCTGGGGGAACTGCAGATGAAGAAAGAATTCTACTGAATTGCATCGCATCAGCAAAGGGCGCATGCAGCGCGCCTCAAAGGTGACGATGATACATGCGCCCAGCAGGCTCGCAATCACCCTGAATATATGCCTCGGAATCACCACATGCTTCCAGACGGAGCAGGCAATCGGAGCAGCAGCAGCAGCAGGGAGCTGCTTAACAGATTCCTAACAGAACTTCGTATGCGATTTGTACGCTGGAATTTTGACAGGGTGCGCGAACACTGTTTGGATGGTGATTTCTGGTCCACGTCTGCTGTTAGTTGTGAGGCAACTTGTGAAGGAAACAGAGACTTACAAATGCGGACCGGTCCTGTGATTTTGTGGGTTCCAGAGTTTTGCCGGCAGCCAGTCCATCCAATACGTCGTGGGCGGAAATCAGATGCGACAACGTGCAAGCTTCCAAAAAAAGCTGTGTGCTCTGCTGACTCCACGTCACAGCCGCTGCTTCTACTGCTACTGCTACCGCTGCTACTACTACTACTACCACCACTACCACCACCACCACCACCACCACCACCACCACTACTACTACTACTACGACTACTACTACCACTACTACTACCTACTACTACCACTACTCCTACTACTGCTTCTACTCCTACCCCTACTCCTACACTCCTACTCCTACTCCTACCCCTACTCCTCCTGCTACTCCTACTCCTACTCCTACTCCTGCTGCTACTACTACTACTACGACGACGGCGAATTCTACGACTGCACGAATGTTACGACTACGACGACTGCTACTACAACGACGCGACGACGACGACGACGACGACGACGACTACTATTACGGCAACGAACACTACGCTCCACGAATGTTACGACAACCGCGACTGCTACTACTACTGTTACTACTGCTATTACTGCTTCTGCTCGTACTACTCCAAATACCCTACTCTTACTCCTACTCCTACTCCTGCTTCTACACTACTGCTGCTGCTACTACTACTACTACTACTACTACTACTACTACGACGACTACGACGCCTCCTCCTCCTCCTCCTCCTACTGCTACTGCTACTGCTACTGCTACTGCTACTGCTACTGCTACTGC